ATGAGTTGCCAATGATACAAAACTGACCTAATTTTATCGAATTAATCAGTTATGATATGATGACTATTGTTGTTACTTAGACAACAATGAAGAATTAAAGGGTGTACACACCGATGTTAGCATATTGGGTTGTCACCAATGCCAATATGTTTACATGAATTAATAAAGTAATAAACCCTAATTGTCCAACTATTTAAAAATATCCAATTCGTACAACTTCAAATATAGAATTTATAATATTAATAATAATTGTTATTTACTACTACTAATAATTTAAAAAATAATAAAATAATAATAATAATAATATAAATAAAAAAAATATTATATAATATATTCGAGTATACAGGAGAGTATTAATATATATATATATATATATATATAATAATAATAATAATTAAATATAATATATTATTAAATCGATTTGATGTTTTATGGATTTTAAAAGTAAGGGTGAACACGGGTTGGGTTGGGCGGTTTATGACGTTTTTACAACCCAACCCAATTACGGCGGTTTGAAAAATCTCAACTCAACCCAACCCATTCAAAAGTATAACCCAACTCAACCCAACCCTTGCGGGTTAGGGCGGGTTGGGTTGGGTTGGCGAATTACTAAAACTTATAAAATTGTCAAATGAAATATGATAAATAATACTAAAAGTATACCAACAAAGTCATTAATTATTACAATCATCCAAAAATATATATAAAGACTAAATCCTCAAGTCTTGAAATCAATTTTCAAAAATCAAAAGTTTGATACGAGCAATAGACTTCCCATTTCCATATGTTAAATGCTCAATCAAGTACAACCGTCTTTGACCTTCCCGACTCCGATGTTGCATTCTCCTTGAGCTTGTCTACAATTCAAAAACAATATTAAACAATTTATTAAGAATATGTAACTATATAAGCATGAAAAAAGAACCATCGTTAAGTTTACCTTCTTCAAGAAAGTCATAAGATGAAATTTCATCTAAAAACTCACTTATTTGAATTCCCTTATTGTTCTCTTTCAACCAACTTTGTGTGCATACAAGGGCCTCCACTATTTTTGGACTCAAAGAACTTCTAAATGAGTCTAAAATACGACCGCTAGTACTGAAGGCGGATTCATATGCTACAGTAGATATAGGTATAGCAAAAACATCTCTAGCTATCATAGACAAAATGCTATACCTATTAGTATTATCTTTCCACCAAAGTAATACGTCAAATGATGGAGTTTTTGGATTGATAGATCCATCAACCAAATATCTATCAACGTCGTTCATTTTTTTTCAGAAATGAACATTTTCAGAAATTAACATTTTCTTCTACAATGAACAATTAAATACTTTCAGAAATTAACATTTTCAGAAATGAACATTTTCAGAAATGAACATCGTCAATTAAGATAGCATGAAAAATTATTCAACACTTGCTTCACAACAATAAATAACAAAAATACGTGAAAAAAAGGTTCCTTACTTGCTTACGAGTAACGATGGTGACGAAGGGAGACGGCGACGGAGGGATTAGATTTAGGAGAAGGAGACGGTATTCGGTAGGTTGAACCGCAAGCAAGCAAGCAAGCAACTGAGCAAGTAAGGCTGTAAGGGACGTAGGAGAACTGGAGAAGCCGAGAAGGAGAAAGAGACGGGTAGGGTTGTGTTACTGTGTACTTGTGTTTGAGACTTGAGTTAATTTCTAAATGACTAAATCAATTGCTATTTTTGTTGGGCTGTTGGCCTATTTGTACTTGGGCTAACATAATACATAGGATTTAAGTCAAAGGATTAAGGAGGCTTAATGATTATTGGGCTAAAAATTTAAAGACCAAATTTTCAAGCAAACATGAAACACTTCTTAATTTTTGTAAATATCACACACACACATACACACACACACACATATATATATATATATATACATAATTTTATTAAAAAAATATACATTAGCGGCGGGTTGGCGGTTTGGGTTGGCTTACGTTATGCCAACCCAATTTCAACCCTTCTAATTAGCGGTTTGGCAGTTAGCGGTTTGGCGGTTTAGCGGGTTGGCGGGTTGGTTTAATCGGGTTGTTAGCGGTTTGGGTTGGACGGGTTTCGCGGATTGACGGTTTTTTGTTCACCCCTATTTAAAAGTACAACACAATTCCCAAACATTAAACACCTCTTATTAGGGGGAGGCTAATGGCACCTCTATCCCTCTATGTAATCATTCTTTTTAGGTGGTGCCATTAGCACTCCCCTTTTTATATGGTTTAGAATTCAATCTGATTGCATTGAAAATTGAAGAAAAAATATATATCATATTTTATTATTTTTGTTTTATATATTACATTGCATCTCATTTTAGATATAAATTTTTATCAATAATATTAATTTAGAGTACATAAACTTATTTTATTTTTTATTTATATAATAATATTTTTATGTTAAATCTCAAACTTTAAATTTTATTTTTGTAATTATATAGTCATTAAAAAAATAAATAATGTTGATATTAATAAAAGTTTATTTTTTTAAAAATAAAAGTAAAAAAAAAGACCAAAAAGTTTATTGATATAAAATATCTATTTGTTATTAATAATTTATATTAATTAAAATATATTATAAATAAATAAATGAAAAAAGCAAAAAAAAGAAAGAATTAATTATTTATATTAATTAAAATTTCATACAAATACGTTAAAATAAAAAAAGAGTAAATTGCAATTTGGTCCCTGTGGTTTGTTGTTTTCCTTAGTTTTGGTCCTTCTAAGTTTTTTGTTGCAAAAAAACTCTCGTGGTATGTAAAAGATTTGGTTTTAGTTCTCCCACTAATGGAGAAACCCAAACATTTTTGCATACCACGATAATTTTTCTTGCTATAAAAGTTCTGTAGGGACTCGGACCAAGAAAAACAACAAACCATAGAGACCCAATTTGCAACTTACTCTAACTAAAAAGATATAAAGACACAAAGAAAAAGAAAAAGAAAAGGTGATGATGAAGTAACGGGTTAAGGATGTACTTAGCCCTTTTATAACCAAAAATCTTATTTAATAAAATATTCATACATGTTATACAAACATATTTACTGTTCACAAACACAAAAAAAAAATATTACATCAGTAATTAAATATAAATATATATATATATATATATATTATGTTATTCATCATCACATCACCAAAAATTATTGATATGACATGACATCAGCAATTACCAAAATTCAATTTTTTTAGTAAGAAAGTGTACTCACAACAACCATAGAACATCTCTAATACAAGGTCCTTATAATCAAAAATTTATTTTCTTACAAGAACCAACATTATAGGTAATTCTTATAAGAATCTCATCCTAAATGAGTTATTGTACAAGAACCTTAAAGTTGGTGTAAGGTGACAATTTGCTAGTTTTTTTATATATTTTTCTAACTTTTATATCCAATATGATAATTAATATGTATATGTTTATTTAACTTAGAGTAAACTACAATTTTTGGTCCCTCTGGTTTAAACGATCTTCGAAAGTGGTCCCTAGAATTCAATAACTACAATTATTGTCCCTACTATTTACATTTTGCTTTGAAAATGGTCCCCAGTCACTAACTTTGTGAGATTAGTCCGTTAAGTAAGAGGGCATTTTTTTCCTTGTATCCTTTTTTATCCTTTTCTTTCTTGTTTTTACTCAAATCAAAGAGCAAGGGACAAAACGGTAAATAAATTCTATATTTTCATTATATATATAATTAAATACATGCATATATATATAAAAGATTCTATATATTTTCTCATTATATATATAACATACTTACGTACACACACATATATATATATGTACACATGTGTGTGTATATATATATATATATATATATATATATATATCTCACAAACACCCCCCAATAGGTGAAGCGACTATGGTGGTAATGTGCTCGTCAGGAAGAGAAAGTGGAAGGGGAATGGGACAGGGAGGGCTGGTGTGGTTGCCTGGAGGCAAATGGGGTGGGGGAGGGGATCATCCTTGTCTAAGAATGGGGAATGGGATGGTGGTTGGTCGAAGTTACAGGTGGTTGTCGAAGGTTGGCAAGAAAAAAAAGTGGGGAGGAGGTGGTGTTGTGCTCATCAGAAAGAGAAAGGGGATGGGGAGGGATAGAGAGTGTCGGATGTGGTGTTGTGGTCGCCGGAGGAGGGTGCTGAAGAAGACCGCCGGAGATGGTCCCTGTGTCTGTATGCGTATGATATATATATATATATATATATATATATATATAATATGAACATAAATAGAGTAAATTACAATTTGGTCCATGTGCTTTAACAAAATTATATAACTTCTCCCTGTTAACGTAAAGAGGCGAAAATACCCCTAACTTAATAGAAAAAAGTTAACAAAGTTAAGTCGAGGGACTACTTTCAAAACAAAATTGAAACAATAAGGACGATAATTATAGTTATTGAAGACCAGAGACTATTTTCAATGATTCGTGTAAACCACAGGGACCAAAATTGTAGTTTACTCTTTAACTTATATTATACATGGGACCCACAAAATGAGTTCTTAAGAACTATCATTATAAAGTTTCATGTAGATCATTAATTTAGTAAGCTGAAAATGAGTTGACAAGAAAAAGTACAAAAAATAAGTTATTACAAACACATTCATTATTATTTTTTTTTGCGTGTCACTTAACAAATTTGTTAAGAAATCGCTGTATGAACCATCGTACAAACTAAACTTCGTTAACAATCTTTTAACAACTTACTGAGTTTTATTGGATTAAAATCGTTAACATGATATTTTGCTTTTAGACCTTAACTTCGGATTTATCCATGTCAACAATTTTTAATAACGTATAGTTCTTTGCATCAAACTTAAAAACGTCTTTCTTTTTATTAAAATAGGACATATTTACCAAAATTCATGAACATAAAGGGCTAAAACTGTCGATCAAGTATTTCTAGGAAGTATTCCTAAAAACCCGTATCTCTGTGGATTTTAGCCTATGTGACTCATCTCCCACAGAAGGCCAATAGGCAGGGTGACCACAAACGATACGATAGTGGGCACCCGTCTTCTTCTTTTGGTAGGAGGAAGTGAAAGCGCACAACCAAGAAGCAAAATTTCTCAAAAAAAAAATGCAGTCTTTCTCAGCATTTCCTGCCAAATCTTTCATGCTTCTATCAACACTTCTATGTAAATCTATGAAAAACCGCACGTTTTTTCTTTCTTTTTCCCTTGTTTTACTGTGTATTTTGCCCTTTCACTATGATTAATTTTCTGAACTTTAATGTTTCTCAATATACAGGTTTTCTCAATATCGCTGTTACCGAACAAGGGTTTTGCTCTGCACCATCAGTAATTGATTCCAGTTCAAACGCCCAACCTCTTTATTCAAAAGTCACCAACCCCACTCTCTCGCCTTCTCACCTACAAGGTTAGCGCCCTGTTTGATTTCAAAGAAATCCACCAAAAACTGACTGGTAATTTTGTTCTTTTTACTCTGTGTTTGTGTGTATGTGGTCTTCTGTTTATGAATTAAGGGCTATGAGTTACTTGATCATATTGAAAATGGGGTTTAGTTAAATGACCATTTTTTTGTGTGTTTGTTGTTTGGCAGATTTACCTGGGTTTACTCGAAGTATGTATAGGAGTGATCATGCCTTAATCACTCCTGAAAGTCATGTTTTTAGCCCATTGCCTGATTGGTATGTTGAATGCCTTAAGAATCTGTGTTTTCTATTTCTTTTTCTAATAGGTTAATTTTAAGCTTGTAATGAAAGTCAATTTGATATAGGAGCAACACACTAGGGGCATATTTAGTCTCGCCGGCAATGGGTGCACATTTTGTAATGTATATAGCAAAGATGCAAGGTGCATTCACATTTATCTTTGTCATTAGTAATTGGGTATTTCAAAAAGATAACCAATTTCTTGATGAGCAACAAAGTTTGTTTCATATGTGCAGAAGGTTCAAAATCGGGACTCCCTCCAAAGCATATTGAGAGGTATTGATGTTTCTCTCAGTTTGTAACGAAAAGCGAGTTACCTTTTTATCATAGTTTGTCTTGAGAGATTCTTTTGTTTATGTTTATGTTTATGTTTATGATTTAGGTTTGTATTTGTGGTTCAAGGGTTGGTGACACTCACTAATGTTTCTGGCATTTGCCAAACGCTGATGGTAAATTACCCGTCTTGATCGTGAAATTGTTTTTTATGTTGTTCTTCATTTCAATGTAGTAAGATTAAAATAATCATTCTGTGCAAGAATATAAACGTGTATCGTATATACATGTAGCCCCATTGCATAATCCTGCAAAATTGATGCACAATATTTCACTTGAAAGATCACTTCACAATCTGTTTCTGTTGTGAAGTTTGATTGCATTCTTTAACCTTAAAGATTTTATCATATCCAAGATAACTAGATAGCAAAAAATTCTTTCGGGCTTGCATTCCATTTTGAAATGTGTCGACTTTTGCAAATCAAATAGACTTCCTTTCATCAACTGTAAATTCAATTGTTATGTGGATGTTAACAACGTAAAGGAAGTTGTATTATTTTGAGTTCAGAAAGTTCTATGTTTGACTTTGATTTCTGAAAGTCAAACATGGACCTCTTTTCTCTGTTTTTCTATTTTCTTTTTGACTAGTGAGATTAGCATAAGCTGTGTCAGTAATCCTAAGTTTCAATACTAAATAAATTCATTCCTCGCTAGTTTGATCTGTACATCTTTGAATTATAGGTAGACTCGTTTGCTTATCTACCTCCTAACTCAGAGCATCTCTTCGAAAGTTATGAATCTGCTACACTTGTTGTATTTGAAAGAAGGTATGCTTATGAAGTGAATATATGGATGAAATAGATTATCCAATTTCTTCAACAGCTATATGTTTATCTTATAAACCACAAGGGTCAACTTTTTATGTAGGTATGCTTACCTGGAAAATCATATTCCCGAGCCAATTGTTGGCTCCACTGATCAACAGCCACTTCTTGACACCCCCGGAGAGGCAAGTGCTCGTAACTATATGCTTAGCGTTGCTCCTTCATCTCTTAAAGACAAGTTTTAGCGTTATTATGTTGGTTCTATTATTTAATCACGAGTTTTAATCTATAATCATCAACTCAAATTCCGTCTAGATTTTAAAACGGACCCCCTTTTGGGATAGAGGGAGTGTTATTTGTAGTCTGTTATTATTACTAATACTATTATATTATCTATCGGTAATCTACACTTGGTTGCAAGAATTTTATTGGGAAAATGTCTCCTTGATTAGTTTTTAAGTATTTGTAATGGTTGTAATATCCTCTTTATCTACTAATTAAATTCCTCTCTTTTGGATAATTTTTCTTCCAATATCAGGTGTTCCAACTGCGGAAGCTTCTTCCTACATCCATGCCTTACGACTTCAACATCCATGTAAGCCACAAAAGTTGGATTTTAAAAAGATTATTGTATGCTTTGATATCTTTGAGTTGACGCATTGTTTACCGAGAATCTTTGACTAATAATCAATACTAGAACGTCACAGAACAAGACCAAAACTAAAAGAACTTATAGACCCAAATCAATATTGCAAATATCTTCTTGTGATTGATAATGGACAAATATGTAAATATAGATTGAATGTTTACCAAAATAGTAAAGGATGCATTTTGCTTTGACTAATATCAAGAAACACCTTCAAATCTAAAGCTTGTAGCTTAAGCTAGAGGAAAACAGAGTACATGAGGTTCGACTTTGCTGATGTTGATAGGGAAACCAGGTGATTAGGTAAACATGTTAGAAGATGAAACTGGTAAAGAAGAAGTGGGGTTTCTTTAAGTATATAATATTTATATACACCAAATACAACAAATAAGCTGACACACTCTTCTCACCTTTGGTCAGGTTTGAACCCCAAACCGCCTAGGAGGCCAGAGGCCCGGATACCGCTAGATCAAGGACCCTTTGGTTAAGAAGTGGTTGTTAGGGGACACACAAGTCTTGTTGATGATGTTGATCATCAGGGTCTAATACATTTGTTTTTTTCTCGTTGGTAAAAACAAGAAATCTTAAAAGATTTTTTTAGAACCGACCAATATCTTAATTATTTCTTTCAGAACTTTTATGCTCTTAGAAACTTGGATTTCATAATTTTGTAATTGTAAACTAATCCTTTTCTAAATTCTGATATTTGTAATCATGCAGATCATGGACTTCCAACCCGGTGAATTTCTCAATGTAAAGGTACGCCATTACTTATTGTCGGTTAATAATGCATCCATTCAACTCAAAAGTCTCAAGTCTTGACAAAACTGGAACTATGATAAGTTATCTCTGTTTATCTCTGCAGGAAGTCCATTATAATCAGCATGGTTTGCTACTTCTAGAGGGACAAGGCATATATCGTCTTGGTGATAGCTGGTAATTTCAACGCCAAAAACTGCCTTTTTTGCTTACCATATGTTCGTAAACAAAGCTAAGATTTACCAAATTACCTTGTTTTACCCTGCAAGCTGTTCAAGAAAAATGGTGACGCATTTCATTAGTACAGTTGCACCAAAGAAACACCTTTTCCATTTCTAACAAGAAAACAGACAAAAAATGCTGCAACATCATTGTTATGCATAGTTTAGAATAGATCTTATTCTTTGATTTTCTGTAACATAGGTATCCGGTTGAGGCTGGAGATGCAATCTGGATGGCTCCATTTGTGCCTCAATGGTAAGAAGCTTGACCAATATTATATCAAATCACTCCCGTTGCCACATTATAAACAGATTTCATTATAATCTTGTTTGCAGGTATGCTGCCCTTGGTAAAGTCCGCACACGCTATTTGCTCTATAAAGACGTCAACAGGAATCCTTTATAACGCATGAGGAAGACCATGTCTATGGAGTGTGATGACTCGAATCTTTTATGAGTTATTGGAGTTGAAAGCTTCAGTTCTGTCAAAACTAATATGGAAATCAGATCCTTTGGTTAAACACTTAATTGACGTTTTGACAATTCTTCTTTTACATCCATGACCTGACACGTTTGCGAATGCCATTTATTGACTGGTTTGAAATTAAAGGCTTTTTTTGTGAAATAAATGCTCGTAATAGTCCTATGGAAATCTTTACTTTTTTAATTGCATGATTTAATCTGATTTTAATATATATATATATATATATATGTATGTATATGTATAACTTTTGAGAGGATGAACTTTGTGGGGAATAAAATTATACATATATAAAAGAGGTATCACATGGCTTATAGATTATTTATTTATTTGCATGTGTTATTAAATAATTAAATACAAAACCATAAGAGTGGTGTCTGATTGATTTGAGCTTGTCTCCAAAGGTCAAAAGTACTAGAAGGTCTCGGGTTCAAATCCAAAGAGGAATAAAAATTCCCTTGTGGCCATAGAAGTTCAAATGTGGTGACTTCGGACAATCTGCAAAGCAGGTGGTAGTTTTGGGATTAGTCGGCTCGCATAGCGGATTGGATATCCAGATTAATAATAATAATAATAATAATAATAATAATAATAATAATAATTAAATAGAAATGATTGCTCTTCCCCGACCTAGTGGATCTTGTGATAATGGCTTCTGAAAATGACTGAAAACATAAAGAAAAATCCGTTTTCATACTTGTAAATTTACTAGATTTTGTGTTAAAATCATTTCTAGCATCAAAGAAAGCTCCATATCTCAGACTTTTCAGATAAATCTTTTAAGTATAAGAATTGAAAGAAAAAAACCACATCTAACTAAGCATCTCTTGTAAGACTTTTGTGATTATTTTATCGGTATAAAACTGACTAAAATCAAATAAATTACCTTCTTTTGACGAGAGTTGCATCATCAATGGATTTGCCATTGTTTAAATTGGAGACACCTTCTACCAGTCATCTCAATAGCGGACGCTTTGATTCTTGAAGTTGCTCACGAACAAGTACTCAAATTATCGTTTTTGTAGCTTTTAGTCTCCAACTCTATTCGAATTAGTTAGGATCAATCGAAGGGTACAATATATGGGCGTGGCCTATTAAATTTCAACTTTTGGTTAATAAAATCTCAATAATTTTAATTATTACTATGAAGAGTGAGATACAATTTTGGTCCTAATGGACTGCACTTTCTTCGGTTTTCGTCCCTATTATGCATTAATTATGGTGTTGGTGATTGTGCTATGCTATGCATTTTCACATGGTTTTGGTCCCTCCATAAAATGACCATTAAAAAAGTTCGTTAAGCGGTACCATCTGCCCCTTGATCCCCACCATCTGTGATTCAAGGTTTAAGTCAGCTTAAACGAGCAACACCTTATAACCTGTATTAGAGCTTAACCAAACCTCTTGGGTTTCCGTAAATTTCAATAGCACAAATATCATGACACTAAAATTAACACCACAACTTTGGTCGAAAATAAACAAGTTTCTCTTTTGCCGAAATAAAAAAAAGAACACAATGTTTTTAGTATCCTTAACACATCCAATCAGATATACACAACGTTTTTAGTATCCTTAACACATCCAATCAGATATCATAAACGTATCAATAGACAAGTGACGAAAATCGCATCCCTTCATATATGATTTTAGAGTTGTTATTAGAAAAGAACCACATGTGAAACATGTGGGTTGTTAGGCATATATGCATAAGCAAATTTGAACCTAATCCAGATTTTTCTATCAGCATAATAATACACAATTAGTATCTTAATTATTTTGTAGAAAGAAGAATCATATAATACTTTAAAGAATGTAAAAAAGAATCATATATTACTTAAAAAGAATGACACTTTCACTAAGTAGAGACAAAAACCATTGATTTTTTGTTTCTTTCATATAAAGTTATGTTTTCTCCAAAGTTTAATTAATTAATTAGTGGACATTAAGATGTCACTGTTGATTTTAACTAGTTCAATCATGATATATTCAGCAACCATTGAGTTTCACCATTATTCCTTTCTGAATGGGTCTTGTAATTCCATCATCCCAATGAATCCAAACATAATGGTAAAAGGATTCAGCTAGGCATCATAGAAGATATTTTCTAGCACTCTTTGGGCTAGATTTGGTTCATTTCTTCTATGGAGAGTAAATTAGGGGTTCCACGTCTTTTCATATGTTATCAGGGTACTACTTCTAGGACTTGAAACTCTGGGCATGCAATTTGTATTCGTCTAGCTCCCTCTTAACATTGTGGGACAATCTATACTCGTCTAGCCTCCGTTGCAGGGACGTGTTAGATTCTCATGTGGGCTACAGTACACTTGAGTCGTTTTTCCTCTATATATGTTGGAATCTCCAAGAGAGTAAATATGGGGGGCACACTTAATTGGTTACCAAAGAAGTATGATGAAATCCTGAAGAGGGTCTAGCAAGATTAAGTTAATGTATGTATGAATAAAAGATATAAGTAACTGGTTTTGGTAGTTTACAAACATTTGAGCTTCTCTTTCCCTCACTTATGTTTTAAGCTATCTAATTGGCAATATCTACCTTCTTGCTGAAGGTAGATTAAAGGGCTAAATCATCCCTCCTTTGTATACTTCAAAAAAACATAGATCCCATTTAGAGGACATGATGTTGTATCATGACATTCATCATACTCGTTGCAGGTGTAATTATACCTAAACCTAAGGGATATCTATGTTTGTTGATCATATTCAAATGTTCTAACTTCTGTATTTTATGGATACTATGACAAAAGTTGGTAAAGTCAACACGGCCTAACCTTTGGTGCAGTTTCTTTTGGGTTGCTGTCAACTTCATAAGATAAAAACAATACAAAAAAGAAATGGCAATAAAAAAGTACAATTGGAAATAAGCCACTTCCTTGTCCAATGTGAAAACTCTTTTAGAGAAAAGGTGTGAACTTTTTTGTTTGCTTGAAAAAGTAAAAATTCTGACGGAGATGACAACAAATTTATCAGAAGTGGTTCTTAGGGTTTGAAAAAGGGTAGAAGATTTGGAGAAAGAAAATGCAAGAATTAGAAGATATATCTCATAAATTTGGCTAAGTGACCCCAAACGTACGATATACTTATTAACGAAAAACCCAATTGATATAAATGAATTATAATGTGTATATATGTAAATATGTGATGTAAAGAAACCCTTGTTTCCATCTTGGATACGATTGATCGATGATAGAGTTCAATGATATTATCTCAGAATTATATATACGTTGTTATAATAGATTAAAATTTACCGTCACAACTTCTCTATCTTTCTATATATCTATCTATCTTGGCTAAATGGCTCCAAGGGAGTAGGGTTTAATTTATACTTTCTAGATTTGTTTGTATTCATGCAAATTGAGAAGAAAATTAAATACTGGGGAAATTAAATAAAACGACACCAGATATGTTGGTGTTTTTTTAAGGATATAAAAGATTGAACTAAGTCACCTTTAGCAAATAACCGGCAAAAGCTGAAACTTTTTATTTTTATCAAAGAATTCAATATCTAAATGAATATCATATATAATTGCAAGTTGCTCATCTTGAAGCATTTATTATTCTCATAATTCTTTTAGCCTTCTCATGAGCCATGTAAACAATATAAAAGCTGTATGAACACAGTCCAAAATC